GGGCATGTTATAATTGTAATTTTAATTTGAAAACAAAATAAAATGTATGTATAAGTATGTATGTATATATAACAACATTCGCTAACCCTGAGTAGTGCACATAATCAGCTGGAAAAGCCATCAAATTATAATAATTATGTCCTTGCCCAAAACTGGGTTCTTTTCCTCTATAGCAGTTAAACAAGAGCACACACCACACTACAACAATAATTGCATTTGTGATTAAGTTAATACTATTATGATACAAACAATCCTAGATCAAGGAAATTATATTGCTCCATGTACAGTAAGACAGGGTCTAAATTGCCATTACAAAACACCCATGCATAACAAAGTTCTTTAATTTACCACTTAATAAGCCTAATATACCAGTCAGTTCGAAAGTTCAACATCCCCCCCCCCCTTAGCAACAACCCCCTGGGCATTTGACATCTTGAATTTTTGTTTCGTCAAATTTCCATCAACACACAAAGAACAAAGACAGTATATTCAAAGTGTACAGTGTTGTCTCGTGATGGATTCTAACTTGTCCATGACTTTGATGCTAATTTTCCCCTACCTCTCCCATATGGCATAATGTGCCCCACCCCGATAATAACCACTGAGGTCAAATTCCCCTCTCCCACCCCTTACTGGGACAAAAATTGTCAAATGCATGTTGTACACCCAGGGGGAGGGGATGTTGATGTCTCTATTTGATCAATACTTAACTTTTAATTCCACCATGTGTGTACACTGACTGTAGTTTAGAAAAGCACAATACATAAAATGTAAATATATAGCTTCTCCTAAAACCTAATAAAACTAACCTGAGGCTTGGAACTCTCAAAATTCAGTCCAATCATTTTCTACAGGGACAGAAAAGAGTTCAATTTTTAGTTTTTTCCCCACTATCTAGAAACCACAACATAGTACTTCATGTAAACAATTCTAAGTGTCTCTAAAGCAAACACTGAAACCCAGTCTTTCTGTGAAATCATTCTCAGCCTGGGAAACAGTCAACAATATCATTGATACAGTTGTGAAACGTTTAAGCGGACAAAATATTGAAAACAAGCCTTGCTTTGAAGCTGTGAGTTGGTGGAATAATTTCTTCTCTTTTAGAAGCTAGTAAGCCTTTATATTTATAGTAAAGTATTCCCTCTTCCAGTTTACAAATGGACATATCCATATTTAGCTGGTCAAAATATTAAAAATGCTTACCCAGAAACAACGAATCAGTGAAAAATAGGCTCCATTGCATCAACAACAACTAAATTAAGGGAACAAGCTGGACTACATATTACAAAAATTATAATCATGGCAACATGGTTTTGATATGATGACAAAATATGATCAAATAAATCACCACATGAATGGTACATAATATGCCTACATTTTCTACGATGTTCAAAATTGTCAAAACCATGAAAAATATGAATCATACAACTACAGAGGAAAGGTAAAAACCCTGAGAAAACTTATGATTACTTAATTTAACAAAAAATCATTAACTGCTTGATAAGCTTCAGACTGAACGTAGTCTTCAAACATCTGCCGACTTGCAGTCACAATGGGCAAGCTGATTTGATATTCAGAAAATGTGGCTTCTTAGTATAATTAACCATAAGAAGGTGCCACATTTCCCATCAAAATAATTACATTTATACACTAAGAAAATAAATATGTTCAACAAGTTATTTATGGCCAAATTTTGACGTTTAAAAAATTAGTGTAACCTAAAATTTACCCAAGATGTTATTACATGGTTTTTAAGTCCTAAGTTGTTGACATGGTCGATAAATTTAAAAAATAATTGTGGGCTATGAACAATTTAATAAAAATTATTATAATGCTTTCCAGGTGAAAACTG